TCGGGAAAGTCCGAGGACACGTGCACCGACCATCAGGCAAGGGGAGGGGATGGGTAAGCTCCGGCTGTCAAGTAGCGGTAGGTTGACGTATGTAGGTATCGATTGTTGACGGACCGATTACCCACTATACTCTGTTCCGTTTCAAGCTTGCAGCCGAAGTGCCCTGCTGAAAGCAGTGCATGATTTCTGTATATACAGCTCTTACATTTTAAGACGAAAATTTTTGAGCGGAGGAGCGATCTGCCTTGGATCTGCCGAAGAAACTCCGACTGCAAACTTGATATGGAACAGACTATAGCTGACACAACGCAGCTGTTGTACCGCCAGTGGCCCAGGGCACCCGATTAGAGCATTGGCAACAGACAGGTGCTTTAATGTGAAATAAAAAAAGAAGAAATAAGAATGTGTATTTAATGTAGCTTCAAAATCACGATGCATAACACACACCAAGTGGTATGTATTATTATAGGCATTATAATCATGCATATTGCAATTGTTTGTGGCAAGCTATTGATGAAGCCCTTGAAGACCTTGTCGGAAAAAATATCCTAGTTTATCTTCAACTTTGAAGATTACTATTGATATTTGAATGGCCAAACATTATTAATGGAAGCCAGCCATGCTGCTGAGCGTGACAAGCTCAGCGAAGAACGCTGAGAAAGAAGAAAGGACACTAACAGACCTGAAATGGTCATTGGGATGACTTTGTCGTAAACTTTGGGTAAAAATAGCTGATGAGTAATGAAATGATATTGAAAAAGTGAGTAATGAAATGATATTGAAAAAGTGGAATAACCATTGTCAATGGAAATTGTGCTGCACAAATATCTTATAACTCCATCACTTTCGTTGCGCTTATTTGAATTACTGAGTACAACAGAATGGCACATGCAGTAATTCGGTCGATCTTTCTGACCAAAGCTATTTCCTGCTGGTATATTCCTGATCAACGCGAACCGTGATGTCACTCGGCTGACGCTAAGACAGCTCATCAAATCGGAAACACGTGTCAAGTCAAAGTGACATATGCAAGTTGCAACACAACATATTACATCATCATATTACATTTCTTAGGCCTTTGACATGTTTCAAACATTGTGGTAACCAGCACTGATGTTTGAACGTCACATCACATCCTACTGCCTATCAGTCCATGCCAGAATCTACGAACGTCTCCGCTAGGAGGCTCTGGACGCTCCGCTTCCTCGAAGAGCGGATGTGTCAAGATAACCAGTTTTGCCCCAGTCGACGGTCAAAATGTCCAGTCCAGGAGCCTTTGAGCAGCGAGCAGTCAGCCCCAGTGCGCGGAGGTGGTCGCTACGACTTGTTTTAGTCTCCAGTCAACACTGGTCCTCAACAAGATTCATCTTTTGTGTTCGTGCTAAAACAAGAAAAACACCGACAGGCGACAACGAAGTGAGCTAGTCAGGTACTCGGAAAGCCGGAAGTCAATCGAGTCAAGTGGCTGGTGTCAGTTATCTGGTTATCGTATGAAAACGTGAGAGGTCAAGCTACAGACACGAGTTTAATCGTCCCAGGAGATCCAGTTGAAACATCGCCAAGCATGATGGATTCATCGACGCCACCGGTCCCAAACATTCTCGCTGGGGGCACTAATCCACTCATGATGTCCAACAATTCCAGCCTGCTGGAGGCAGCCAACGAAACGGATCCTGTGATCCGGTCCGGCTACGATCTGCCCGTGTACGGCCTGGACAACGGCCAGTTCTACGTGATCCACATCGCGGCGCTCTGCTGCATCGCGGCCAGCTTCTGCTGCGCGCTCACCACGTTCGTGTGCTCGTTCCGCTCGCACCGGCGGCCGTTCTTCCTCTGGTCGCAGAGTGACCGCATCGTCGTCTACCTGGCGGTGTGTGACGGTCTGTTCAACGTGTCGCACTCGCTGGACCACCTGCACTACGTCATCCAGCGGGGCCACGTCACGCCGCCGGCGCTGTGCGCCTTCTACGGCTTCATGCTGTCCGAGTTCATATCGGCGCAGAACATACTGGTTCTCATCACGGCCGTCAACGCATGCCTGCTGGTGTACCGTCACAAACCGATTCCATTCGGTGCCAACGACTGGAGGCTTCTCGTGGTCATCTTCGGCACTCCTGCTCTGTTTGGCTTCGTGGTGGCCAGTCTTGACGGCTTCGGACCTACCGGCACCTTCTGCTACTTTGACGCCGTCAAGGGCTCCATCGCCAACATCCTGTTCACGACGACGGCGCTGGGCGTGATTTTGGTGTCGTGTGCGATTCTCTACGTCTTCACCTGGCTGCAGATTTACCGAGAGGCCCGTCGGAACGAGAAGAGACTCGGTCGCTCGCAGCTGAGCGGCTCTGTTCTGGTTACAGCCAAGACGTGTCTGCTGCTAGTGGCGGCGTTCTTCGTGCAGTGGTGGGCGATGGCGCTGTACGGCACGTGGCAGCTGGTGGAGCCGCCGCCGCAGCTGCTCTTCCAGTTCGTCACCACCTTCTCCAACACCGGCGGCGTGCTCAACTTCATCGTCTTCTGCATCATCTATCGGAGACGAAAAGCCCGAGCTGAAACCTCCTCCAAGTCCGACAGCTTCGGGACAGGACGGTCAGGAAATTCCAGCCAGGACTTCCGCTTATAGTGCGGCGTCTCAGTCAACGACACCGACCGCTTACGCTTGCTTGACCACCCCAAGTTATCCAACGAGGGAACGGAGCAGGATGAAGCAAACCATGTTGATTCTCACTTCTTTTTTGTTAACTGCGGGGCTTGTTGTTGAAGTTTCTGTAATATGAGCGCTACTCTGGCACTAAGCGGTTAATGTTATCAGGGTCATTGTGTTAATACGCTTTTGATTTCCTTAAAACATTTTTTCATACTGCATTTGACATCACTCATGTAACTCTGTTGCATGAACGTCATGGTATTTGTGTGTATGTTGAATGTATGTAGCCATTGGTCTTATGAATGAGATGCATAGGAATTGGAAAGAGTTGCATTTCGAAAGTGCACTTTGTATGTAAGTGCAACTCTGCAATTGTGTGTGCAATGATAATGAGGCAAGATTAGCGTATTTGAATAAACACATGAATGAATGAATGAATGACGATGTTGGAATGACGATGTTGATGTGGGCATTTTCTGGTTAGCCGAAAATGTGGCCAGCATCCGGACTTAAGTTTGAACGATTGCCAGTAGCGGCGGAACACCTTCAATTAAGGGGGGGGGGGGTGCACTGCCGACTTTTGGTCCCATTCTTTCCATGCAACGCCCATAGGGCTAATGTTAAAATACCAAAATCAAAGGGGGCACGGTGCCCCGGTGCCCTCCCCGTTCCGCCGCCTATGACGATTGCAAGGTATTCTTGTTATTATTGAAAATACGATTACGAATGGCTCACCAGAACGTGACCTGGCCAGTGCGAGCAGTCACTGGCGGATTCAGGAGGGGGGAGGGCATTAGGGGCAAATACCCCCAGAGGCGCCCGAAATCGACGAAAATTTGCAGTTTTCGAGAATAAAGCTGAACAAATTTTATTAGGTAGCGTTTAATATACGAGGGGGTATCGAAAAGTTCTGATCATCACCATGAATTAGATGTGATAGAAATTTGATTTTTTTACATGATGTTCATTACTCCTTTACAAGTCACCACACTCGACCGCAAACTTATTGCATCGTTTCTTGAGATGCCTCAGGCGGTCATTGTAGGACCTTCGCGTTGTCCCGTAAATCACTGCTCCACCTCATCAATGACGTCATTTCTGGCCTTTGATTACCGGCCATACTGTGGATTCTTCATCTCCCGTAACAATCAAGAGTCAGTTAATACCCGGTCAGGTGAATTTCTTAGATGCGGTAGGATTTAATGTCCACATCATGTTGATTCTTAAATCGCAGCTCAGGACGAATGGGCGGGGGCGCTGTCGGTGCGGATAAAACATCTTTCTTTGTTTTTTTTTTGCGGTGATTCTGCTTGAGGCCATCTCGCAACTTCTTCAAAAGTGTGCAGTAGTGCTTGCTTATCATTATCCAACCATCATCAAGACAGTCAGTAATGACTATCCTACGCCAGATCCAGAACACTGATAGCATTGACCTTTCATATCGGCCTCTGCATCTTCGCCTTTTATGAAGGACAGATGTGCCGTGCTTAAACTTCTTGATCATCTTTTTGTCTCTGGATCATACACATAGACCCGGCATTCGTCACAAGTCATTAAATGATCGAAGATGTCTTCAATTTCCTAAAAAAGCCTAGTTTTCATTTCGAATGGCCAAGACGCATTTTTCTCTTGAACAAAGTAGACACACGAACTTCTAAGCGGGCTGACTCCTTTATCGTCTGTCGTTCTTCGCCGATAATATTTTCAGGCACTGCCAGCATTGAGACCTTTCTGTTGCACAATCATCTGAAAGGTCACACGACGATCTGTAAGGATGAGGTCTTCCACTTCCTTCACAGTCGCCACCTTGTCAGTCACTGGTAGTCACTCACTTCTTGACTCCCCTGCAAGGGTCATGCAACCAAGTTGAAAATTATTTCTTCATTTTCGGTAAGTGCATTAGATGGGCTTTCCTCGCTATAAACTAATTTCACGTTCTTGATGTATTTTCTCAGTGTGATACCGTTTCAAATGCATTAGTTGGATGACGGTTCGGTCCTCAATGGACCCAATACTCATCTTTTTTACTTCTAAGTCTCTCCTACATAAGTTAAAACCACTTCTCAGGATTCTCTTTGCGGGAACATTGTTCTTAAGAACCAAATATAATACCAACCAAAAATAGTCAAAATCGGTCCATATCTTCTATGTGATGATCAAAACTTTTCGATACCCCCTCGTAAACGGCACAGCAGCGCGTAAGGTATCTAAATCCGACAAGTTTTGGGAATTTGGAGAAACCTTTTTAGGGGTATGCCCCCACCCCCGCAGCGTTCAATACCGCCTTTCTGGATCCGCCTGTATGAACAGTCTAGCTACGAACACTTGCTCGTTTTCATAAGCGTATCCACCTCACCTCGTAGGAGCCGTAGAAGTCGACGTGTGGCTCGTAGTGGCCGCCGACGCCGTAGTTGACTACCTGGAGGTCCTCGGCGGTCTCACTAGAAAGGCCCGTGAACGCCTCCACCAGGCGGTGGAACTGGCCCACCAGGGGGTCAGAGCCCCGCGGCAGGAACGCCCTGCGAACAAGCGTTGTACCTAAATATGCAGCGTTCGGACAAAGTTGGATGAGTTTAGGCTGGCGAAGCGTTTTATAGAAAACGTCCCAACAAAACAGTAGTCACTGATACCTACATTGGACAAAATAAAAACAATGAAAAATAGGAAGAGTTCAAAAGACAACAAAACTACGTAACCATCTCGATTATTCGATGACATTCAAGTTCCCCACCAAAGATTCCGACGCGGTTGCGCGACTTTCCAATAGGTTTCCGGAAGACCAGGGCTCCCCGCCCGGTCAGGCCCGGCGCGGCGGCTCCCGCCTGTCGGGGGCGGCGCGGCTGGCAGCATGTCCCGGATTTCCTGTGGTGTTCCCACACAGTGCAGTGGGACGTCGCGGTTCCCCGGCGGACGATGTCACGGGGGGATGGCCACGGTTCGCCAGGCCACGGGACCTTCCGGATATCCGCGGCGCGGCGCCGGTCGGCCCGTCTCACGCAATGGCGATAGGACTCTCGTGCATAGGCATGACCATTCAACAATGCTCAGAAGTGAAGTGGAAAGGGTTCGATAGCCAATCGGTAGATACTTAGCGGTAGATCTTCAGCAAACAGAAACACAAGCCTATGTGTGAATTGACTCAAACACTTCAAGTCATCGACTTTCTTTGATAATCTGCGATAGTGCGCCTCAACAGTCAGCAGCTTGCGTCGTTGTAGTATGTAGTTCTCGCATTTATAATCTCCAAAGGATATGCATCGATACCGATAGGATGGGAAAAGAATCCCAAGTAGGACGTTCTCTGAAGCAGCCTAGACCGATATCCCTCTGGCCTTTGGTCTAGACATCATCACTAACACGTTTTGGCACACTTTTGGACGTTTTGGCCAGACTTCCACTATATACAGCTAGCTGCCCAAATATTAGGGGTGGTTTAAACTCCACGATTGTTCCAATAAAAATAATTCGTCAGGAAACTAGTTATTTTCGGCCTAAATAGTTATGTACTTGCTCACATTTTGCCGACTCTGCCCTGGGTGCTCCTGCCGCTCTCTCCGGGTCGCCCTGTGACCTTGCTGGTGACCAGCCGTGGACCGGCCAGACGCGACAGGCGGCCCCGCTGTCGTGGACTAGTGACGTCATAAAACCGCACTATCAGCGGGTCCGGCCATAGCAGTTCGGTCTTCAGCGGTCTCAGGCGGAAGAATGGGTCAGAGGACCTCTTGTAGGCGCAGTGGAACCGTGAGGTCACGGCTGGGGACTGTCGGAGAAGACGGAAGGTCAAACGGAGTTGCAGGGGTTCATGGTGAAGGGAAAAGGAGAAATACTAGCAGATGGAGAGATGAAATCGGTAGAAAGATCGAGAGGGTCAGTTAGGATTCCACGGAATATGTTACCTGAGAAGGGACGAGTTAGAAGAGAGTGACAAACTCGATTTTTTTTTTACAATGTAAACATGAGGGCCTATAAATCAAAATAACATAAACGGGTCACGGAACAGCGACGGCAGACGACACCGGTACCCCCCACGGAGACGGCACCGACCGAAACGGCGCCGCTTTGGCGCGCCAGTCTGCTGCCTGCGTCTCGCCGTGGGGCGCCAGACACGGGGTCACTATCGGGCCACCATCCGGCGGGCAGATGTGACACTCAACCACCGTCTGACTCGTGTTCAGCAGACGGTGACGGTGACTTCGGAGGTACAACATCATCCTACATCATTCTTCGGAGGTAGTCACATCATCCTTCGGAGGTAGTCACATCATCCCACAATCAATACATAATTCAGACGAAAATATGTCTGTCTGCCTGTCCGCTTGTCTGTCTGTCTCTATCTCTCTCCCACTCCTTCTCTTTCTCCTTTCCATCCTTCTCCTCTCTCTCTCTCTCTCTCTCTCTCTCTCTCTCTCTCTCTCTCTCTCTCTCTCTCTCTCTCTCTCTCTCTCTCTCTCTCTCTCTCTCTCTCTCACCAGCAGCGCCTCTCCTCGGCACAACCGCTTGTAGCGACGCTCGATGTCCTGCATGGCGACGCTGTCGGTAGGGTCGGCATCCTCAACAACACGTCCCAGGAACCCCAGCGGGATCCCGGAGCCGGCGAACTTGCTGATGAACTGGTCTGGCTGGCGACGTGCCAGCTGTAGCACCAGCTCCCTCTGTGGGAGAGAAAAAACACACTTCTCATACCTAATCCATCGACAAAAGGCATCTGCAAATTTCCTGCTGCTTCAGTAAAATTGGTTTTCCTCATAGCTTATATGCAGTCTCTGTATTTATATGTGTCTCTGAGTTATGGAAGAAAGACCGATATTTTTCCGTTTTTATTTTCATTTTTGCTCATTTAATGTAGTATTTAAGAAATAAGAATGCAATTGTTTTAGGATTAAAATTATAGGACAAACGAGTATATTTTTTAGTAATAAATTCCGATGCTTTGCTAAGTATTTAGCCATTCTTTAATCGACATATTTACATTTTCAACGAGAAATATGTAGGAACACCAAATTATTTGCAATTTGTCCTCTCTCCACCCATTCTCTATCTATCTCACTCTCCCTGGCTCTCTCTCCCTAAATGGCCATTGTCCATGGCATTGCTCACCGTTGCTCGAATGCTGTTGAGTTTACGCTCGAGCTCAACCCGCCGCTGCTGTTCATGTATAAGCTGTTGCGCTGCTTTGTTCCAAACTTCGGCTAATTCAAATTCCATGTGAGATAGGCTCTGCTGGCTGAGCCGAGCACAGTCATCACCTGCGAAAATGTTACCGTATTTAATTAAGCACATTTTTTCTCGAATCATCACGTGTCCAATGCCCTGAGTAAAGAAAACAACAAGCAGGACATATTCGTTTCTTGCACAGGATACTGGAGGGGCAGATAGTGGTTTTCAGCACTATCATTTGCTGCATTTACATACAAACTGATTCATTCCCAATCAACACTAACCTGACAGTGTCCACGGGGAGCGATGGCCCCTGATGCGACCCCGCTGCAGGTCTGATGTGCTTAAATCGTAGATGTCCTGTAGCCGAACTAGCGCGAACGCCGACTCGTTGAGGTCGGTGGTGTTCGGGAATAACGGACTGGACAGCACCTCCGTCACGTTACCCTCTATATCTGAAAAGCGACGCGACATTTTCGGCCTTATCTACTCCTGCTTCCCTCGGAAATCTGAACATTGACGGCCAATCATTGCCTATCGCGCAATCGAATTTGTCACTTAATCATCTATCATCCCTTTGAACCGAGGTTTTACGAGTCGAAACGCACTGTCCGATGCATCAGCTCAAAATCATCAGAATGCATAAAAAATGCAAGCTGTCTGCCGGCACAATATTTAGTGACTCACATAATGGCGCAGGCAATGGCGTGCTCATGTCGACGGGTGGGTGGGAGTGAATGAGTTAGGCCGGAGGACGGGCTGACGATGTTAGATGCCAGATAGGAGTTGGATTCAGATGACGGCAGTAACGGCGGGTCTAAAGGAGGGCACTAACCGGGCTGTCGGGCGGCCAGCAGCGCCGTCCTGACCGGCTCGAAGTCGCTGGTCAGTCGCCGGAGCATATGGTAGGCGTCCAGCGGGCTCACGATGCTGCCGCCGAACGTCTGGATGGGATGACTGTCGGCCAGGAATCTGCCAGACACGTGACACACCAATGTGGTCGCAATGCACAAACCAGAGCATGCCAACATCAACTAAGATGTCCGATACCAGCATCCGTTGTCGGCGGGAGACCTGACCAGCTTTGGTCTGATTTTGACTTTTGGTTAATACCCAAGCTGGCCAAAAAAAAAAAATATATCCGGGGATCTAAAAGAAGCACCGGGGATCATATGCGTGACGGCACTAAAACCGTTTTGCAATTAGGTATTTTTGGATCGGTTTGACGACGCTAGTTACCAAAAGCCGGAATCCGACCTTTACGTTATTTCTAAAATGCTGGCTATTGGGTTTGGCTTACCTATCGCTTTGCCGACTGTCCCATGCAGCCCCGTCTCCCGCCCCCCCCCCTCCCCAACACATACACACAAACCAACCTGTTGAGTTCCTCATTCGGTTCATCGCTGTGCAGCTCCTGAGCCAACTCCACCAGCCTCTTCTCCAATCGAAGCACCGAAGCCAGTTGTGAAGCCGAGTTGTAGACGTCAGCCTCCACGTAATGATTCTCCAGCAGCACCACCAACAGGGGCAACAGCAGCGACAGGATCGACCTCAGAATACACGTTTCAGCGACAAATTTCATCGTGTTATATAATTCGTTGGAGTTTACCTTTCAAACACGCCAAAGTTAACCACGTAACTGGCGGCGATTCACTCCTGAATGCTGATAGTCCTCAGATTCCGCATGGAAATTAATTACAAAGGGTATCACCGTATGGTGATTGCGTTAAAACTCACACGGAGCTTTGATACGTTGGTGTCAGTACTCAGCCGTCACAGCACTGACGACACGTTCACGTCTGACCATCGATAACATCAGTCTCCCCAGTCACACTGTTATTACCAGTCGCATCTCAGTCTCGTTCCACATAAAGCACGGCTTGTCCAAGCAGCTTACACTGCACAGACGCGGACCGCAGACACAGCTGAAGCCCCACCTCGGCCGTTTTCACACACTCAACACCGCGAGCTCAACATACAGGAGCTCCGTTATCGCTTTCACTATTCACCGCACACGGTCTCTCTATAGGTGAGTCAAGTCGACAGTGGCTGTCTCAGGTCGGGCTAGGTCGGGTCGACTCTCCTGGTCAGACTGCAGACTGCACAGCAGTCGGGTCAGACTAGCTGACCTTTCTCGCAGACTGTAGGCTGAGGCGATCGATTCAGATGGGCTGACTTCGTTCTCCAGACTTCAGAATGCGGTGGTCGGACCAGAGTCCAGACTGACTGACCTCTCTCCAGCCCGCAGACAGCACCGCCGTCAGATCGAGTCGGATTGACTCCGCCGGTACAACTGGCAGACGACACAGCCGCACCGGCCTCTCTTGGCCTCAGGTGGCCTAACGGTACGGGCAGGCGACGACGGCCGCCCGGCCAGCACCCGGCAGGGCCACCGGTCAACGGCGGAGCGGGAAGGCGCTGAATAATACTGCGGAGATCTGGCGACTCATTCTGGTAGTCTGAGAAGTGATGTTGATGACCCGTTGAAGATCGGATAGATGATGACGAAAGGTAAACATCTGCGAAGATTTGACAATTGATTGGCGGAAATTGGAAAAAAACAACACTATTGCTCTTCATTAGTGAAATTAAGTGCTTTGTACGGCCGATTTTAACATGTGACTGTTCATCGTCTTTCCGAATATGGAAGAACCGTGGGGCATCCGCTTACCTACATACGCGGAGCTGTTGGACACTTCCCCGACGGGAACTGGGCTGTGGGGCACCTCAACGACAGTGCAAAGCTGCGATGTGGGGCTCCTTCCCGACGCTCAATACATGGATGGCTGAGTCCGCCACTATATACCCTTCCCGCCAGTCTTCATTAGTGGCCTGGTTCTTATGGTACTCCTGGGTGGCACGCGACCATTTAACGCTCTGCTAAACCGAGCGTCCGCTGTTTGAAGCATGGAATGGATAATGACGGTCAAACAAACACCGCAGCAAGAACCACGAACCGTTAGGTACCCATAGGTGGGAATGAATAGGCTGTGAAATAGAAAGATCATGACACAGAACCCACTATTCGTATTCGTTAAATGCGAAAGACTTACTAAAAAAACACAATTATTCGGCTAAAAATTAACTCATACCTAACTTGCACACACAAGAATACAGCTGGCTTGTTGTGTTTGTAATGCTTTTATTTCCGAGAGGGTGTTGATAAAGTCAGAACGATGCAACGCGCTCACCCTATGTGCTGTGTTGTCCGTATCGATATGTATAAAATGATTTATGTTTTTTTTTGTAGTCACGATCTCACAACTTTGCTCCTTCGCCATATGACAGCTCATCGTTTCCTGCCTTTCTTTTTACAAATTCCAAATTACAGCCAAGACCGTGTTTCTCAATCCTCATGCAATGGCCGACCATTATTTCTGATGTCTACAGTCTTCCTTTTCGCCCTGCTGCAGTAACAGACCACTGCGTCTATGCATCTTTTTTTTACAAGGAGACAGAAGACTGCGTCTGTTTTCCATAAGGGGGCAAACCACTGCATCTGTTCTCTATAAGGAAGGCCGACCGCTGGGTCTGTTGCCTGTCTGCAGCGCCGTCGGTCGCGACACTCCCACCGTGACGGTGGCATGTCAGAGCGTCACGGTGTCGATCCCGTCACGGTGCGCAACGTGTGACCACAACTGATGAGCGATCCAGTTAGTCGGGCCAGCGCACAGGGAAACGAAGTCGCCCACTCGTGAAATAGTGCACCGAACAATCTGCAAGACTAAGTAATTTGTGGCGAGATTGCACCGATTGACGTATCGACGCCAAACTTTCCGTACCTTCGGCTGCATCAATTTGACACCTTGTATCAAAATATGAACTTCGTAGCTACCATAGGTCGGCCGGAAATGACGTCAGAGTGACGTCATGTTCGGCCGATTTCGACGCATAACATTGAACCACGGCAATCGCTCCCAAGAGCTCAGTTTTTAAGCTAGATCCAATTTCTTTGCATGAGAGGACTCAGAATAGACTGCGCTATCAAACTGTTATCTCGGATTTTCGAAATTTTGAAAATATTGAAAAATTAATATTATAAAATTCAAAATTTATATTTTTACATTTCCTTTCATTTTTTTTTTACTTTTCGAAAAAACTGGAATATATGTGATAGAACGCGTTATTATGACTAAAGTACTGTCTCCACGTGTAAACATTTTCGGTTTTTACGCGTTTTAGCAAACGAGAGTTTTTCGCTTTTTTCGCTTTTTAACAGACGCTTTTGCGAGTTTTGCGAGTTCTTCGCTTTTTACGGTTTTAGTTTGTCAGTCTTTCAGAACAATTACAATTTCAGAACAATTTCAATTTCAGAGTGAGAACATCTTTCTCCGCCCTTCGTGCGCTGTATGCCGTGGCCCTCTTGTCCCACAGGGCAGGTATCTGGCGCACGGCTTCTATTAACCCCTCGATTTTCGCTGTAAAGATAGTTATAGGGGTATCATCACGTTACCCTATTGTTATCACCGCTATGACATCAGTTAATTATCAATTATCTGAAATGATCTGATATCGTAATATCTGTTATCCATAGACTCACTATGTAATTATTTGACATCCACATCGTTGGAATAGCAACAGAAGTTATTGGTATGGTTGTCTGAGTACTTGCCATGATCATTGAATTAATCAAATTGCGTTTCATCGCTTTCCACACTTTCCATTGCATCTATTTCACCGTAAAATGGTATTAATAGCAGAGTGATTACCTCTTTAGCCTTCTCAAAAACCGGAAAACTTTCATTCGATCCAAATGTTTGGATAAAATCGCGCGTTTTTACAAATGCGAGTTTTGCGCTTTTTAAAAGTTTTACGAGTTTTGCATGACACAACTGACGCGTTTTACGAGTTTTGCAGTTTTTTGATTTTATGAAGCCACGCGTTTTTCGATTTTTGACAAATCTTCCGCCGTGGAGATGGCACCGTGTAATTTAATGGTACAGATCAACGCCGGATCATGAAAAACTCGCAAAACATCAAAAAAGCGTTAAAACGTCATTAAAAACGCGCAAAACATGTACCGTGGAGAACGACCTTAACTCTAGCAAGTTTTAGCTAAATATCTTCAAAAATGGCCAAGTTATAGGTACGCATTATTGCAAAAAATCACAATTATTAATTTTTCAAATCAATTTTTCAGCACGTATATGACATCGTACACCAATATAAATATTAAATATAAATATTTATTCTAAATATTATATTAATAGCAACATCCTGTTCCTGAGCTCAAACTGCATCCAATATGAGACACCTTTCTTATTGAAAAATTTTAACTTCAAAATTTGACCTTTTTTGACCTGAAAGTGACCTGACCTAAGCTAAATTCGACTCAAAATGACCTTGAATGACACAGACGACATCAAATTCGAAATATTTGGCCTAAATGGACCATAAAACATGTGTCACGTGACCGACGCATGATATAATATTTTCGTGGCCTGTGATGACCTGACCTTGACCTGAAAATCAAAGTATTAGTTTGGTACCCTCAGGGTATCTAGAGCACCTGTTCACGAGTGTGTGAACCAAAAATGAGCCTGATCTGACATGTAAGACGGCGGCCGGCCAGAGCTCAAAACGTGAACAAGCCAAAATGCTAATAAATTTTTACTTTGACCTGGCCTGTGACGTCATCGGTGACCTCGAGGTCAATGAAATTAGGTTTCGCTCGACAGTTTTTCCGGGGCTATCAGACGCCGTTTGAAATTTGACGATCGGCCCAGTAGTTTCGGAGTTAGGAGGGGGGGGGGGGCTATGAAGAGCCCCCCCCCCAGTAGGGCGTGTTATACGCAGACCCCAGTGGGGCGCGGGTTAAGAAAAAAATTTGGGCCAAAATCCAAAATTTTCAAGAAACCGAGATTGCCATTTGATAGACAAAGTAGAATTACGTATAACATTTTTTGTTTCGTCTTGATTCTTTAAAAATTAAGATGTTAGCGGCGTTTGAAATTTTGCCGTTTTTTAGGCGAAAATGGCGAACATTGCGTAACTAAAACGTGATTCTCTCTCTCTCTCTCTCTCTCTCTCTCTCTCTCTCTCTCTCTCTCTCTCTCTCTCTCTCTCTCTCTCTCTCTCTCTCTCTCTCTCTCTCTCTCTCTCTCTCTCTCTCTCTCTCTCTCTCTCTCTCTCTCTCTCTCTCTCTCTCTCTCTCTCTAAAAAAAAATCGACGGATTTCGCTCAAATTTTCAGGGAACGTGTCAAATTGTGAAAGTTTGACGTCGCTGGCGTTACGCGTTTAGAAGTTATTGGCGAAAAACGGGAGGGGGCAGATTCTGCCCCCCCCCCCCAGCGGGGCGCGGGCTAAGTGCCAATTTGTTTTTGTTTAACCCGCGCCCGGCTGGGGGTCCTGGATTTCCACGCCCTGCTGGGGGGGGGGGTGTTTGAACACCCCTCCCCCTTCTAACTTGGCTCCTGGGCCACGTTGCGATACGCGGAAGGCGGCGTTTGAAAGAGCGCTAAAAATAATGACGAAAACACTCATGTCACTTTTTTGTCAGGACAAAGGTCAGGTCACCAGAGGTCATTGAAGGCAAAATTTCGCCGATTTTCAGGTCGAATGTCGATAATTTCCAAGGAGCCAACGCATGACTCGGGAACCAATAGAGCTACAGCGTCGCGGAAAAAACGCATTCGATAGCCCTATTAACGCCCTTTCTGAGTAATTCTCTCAGATTTGACCTAACGTCAACGGTTTTGCCTGCAGGGGGCAAAAACTGCAAAAATAGCCGATATTTTCGGAAACAGTTTCTCTGCAATAACTTTTGACCCAAGCCCTGTACGAGCTTACTTTTACCGGCATCGTGTTCCTCTCGTCAAGACGCATCGAATGAACTATACCTTGACCTTGAAAGGTCAACTTGAAAATTTGACCTCAGGTCAATGTCATGACCTGACCGGAAAGGGTCATGTTGCATATCAGTCGATCCGTATCGTCGAGCTGAACACATCTAAGGCGTTTTCATCGCTCTAGCATGCCTCTATCAAAAGTTATTTGCGAAAAACTGTTAGATACCGTTCGGGACCTAAGATGACCTCAGGGCATAAACAAGGGTCACGGACACCATTTTCATGTTCAGTGTGTCTAAACCACTTGTAATTCGGTGTTTGGGTGTGTTTATAATGTCTTAAGTCCTAAAGAGGCGCATTTCAATTTTCTCCCATTGACTTATAATGGGGAGGTCGCAAAATTGACCTGACCTTAGGTCATCGATATCAAAATTCTAAGATATACATTTTGTACATGCTATTGCTCTTAGCAATCGCTGAAAGTTTCAAAGCGATCGGTCACTCGGTGTAGCTATGACCAGGGATGCGAAGCCGTGGAAATTTCAGACGGCTCCGGCTCCGGCTCCGGCTCCGGAGAAAAAAATCGGCTCCGGCTCCGGCTCCGGCTCCGGGTGAAATGTCATGGCGGCTCCGGCTCCGGCTCCGGCTCCGAGTAAAATAATCCGGCTCCGGCGGCTCCGGCTCCGGCGGCTCCGGCTCCGGCTTCTACGCAGTACATCCCCTATGCGATCAATTAAATACGGGTGGAAGAAAAAGGCAATGGGATTGGTACACGTTGCTTCTGTATTTGTATAACAAGGCTAGTTTGAATACCACATTGTTTTACACCTTGTACTGTCAAACCGAACTAGGTAAATATTTTTTTTCTCTTAAAAAAAGGAGCCGGAGTCGCTCCCTTTTTTGACGGCTCCGGCTCCGGCTCCGGCTCCGGGCTATATTGTTTCACGGCTCCGGCTCCGGCTCCGACTCTGGGCAAAATATGCCGGCTCCGGCGGCTCCGGCTCCGGCTCCGGCTCCGGCTCCGGCTCCGCATCCCTGGCTATGACAGACATTGAAACTTTTTATGAGGTGAGGTCACTTCAAGTGACCTGGTGACTTGACCTTGAATGACCTTGGTCTGAAATTTTTACAACATGTGTAGAATTGATGTATGATAAGGTGTACCAAAAACGGCGGCGCTCCGCGCCGCCGTTTTTGAGATATTCGCGAAAAACCACAAGGGGGGGGGTGTTCAAACACCCCCCCCCAGCAGGGCGCGGGTTAAGTAGGTGGCAGACGTCAGGTCAAGGTCAGGTCAAGGGTACAAAATGCAAGTTTCTACAGTATCGGATTTGCACCGTAGTTGCCGAATAATGGTCTGAGACTGATTGCCCAAAACGTGTTCTTAGGCTACCAAGACAATATTCGTTGCATACAATATCATGCAAAGGTCAAGGTCAAGGTAGGTCATGTCACCAAAAATGAAATATAGAAAAGGGCAGGTGCGACACATGTTTTATGGGTCATTTTATTCATAGAATTCAATAGGCACACTCAATAAGTGATATGGACCATATTTGGATGGTCGAGGTCGGGTCAAGGACAAGGTCAGGTCAGTGAGGTCAAATTTTGAAGTTGGTTGTTAAGACCTAAAAATGTGTCTATCTGATGCAGTTTTTCACGGCAAATCGAATGATACTATTTTTGTTTCCGTTCGAGGTCCAGAACTTTGAGAAAAAAAAATGTTTTAAAAAAATGTGTGTCGTGACGTCATAAAATTTTGAATAACTAGGAACAGGGAATGATTCGCAGTATTGACATTTCCGAGTTTGGAGTCGGAGTCTGGAAAATTTTGGCGACTGCGACTCCGACTCTGGTTTGAACTGCACGCTTCAACCGAGTCTGATCTCACAGGATTCTCAGAAAGGTACCCCATTTTTTCTCGGCTCCAAAATCTCATCGGATCTGTATCGATCTCAGGGGGTGCCCGGTCCGAGGTTGAGGGGGACAAGCTGCCCCGCTTGCCCCCCCCCCCCCCCCGTGGCGACGCTAATGCTATATACCCTTTAGGATTATTTTCATTCATAGGCATTAGGTATATTTTTTTTAAAAATGAAGTATTCCCTCTCCTTCACGTAAAAGATACCAAATAATATTATACAGTTATGGCGCAATAGTTTCGATTTTTCAGCTGTTCGGATTGAAAACGCACGGCAAATATGAGGAAGTTGACAACGTTGATTGGTTTCAAACGGAGTTGAGAGTGAGCGATACTTTGTTTTCGAACAAACTCGAAATGAAGCCATGTTTTATCACGCTGTTTTTATACTGGGAGCGGTCTCATCTGCAGCTGTCTCTTGGCTGGGTCGTCTTCTTGGCATGGTTCCGAGATTGCTTGCGCCGGTAGGCTCCGAGAACTTTCTGGGGTCTCTCGTTTCGCGATTTGCTCTGCCCAGCGCTGCTGAAACTCCTATTTAGTGTCGATTATAAATAGCGACCGTTGTGTGAGTGAGCAGTCTTGTCACTCGAGGTCAGGTGAGTGCCCCTGAAAGCTGGTGATTGTGGAGCATCAAATTCAACGTGCAGGGGGCTTTGGTGTATTTGTTGTGGTCTGTGGAAAGTTCTTTTTCAGTTTACTTCAGAACTTCAGTTAAGTTTAGTTCAGAAAGTCTAGATAAAAAGCAGTTTGAGTTGGTCAGTTCAAATTGTCGTTGCCTGATTTTTAGTCCAAGTTCAGCCTTCCGGTTGAATCTGAAAACAGGGCACCTGGGGCGATTTGATCAAGGATCTTGAAATTCGCTTGACCTAATCACGTGACATTTAGCATGTTAAAGGCACTGAGAGGGGAAGAATATCCCAACAATCATGTGACTTAAAATGCCCTCTGGCTGGATGGCAGAATATTTTGAGAAAGTTGTTGATTTAAAATTG